ACAGACTGATAAGCTGAATGGCAGGGTGAGCAGGTCTAGGAAGGCCAAGAAGGCACACTGTTTCTTCCACCTTTTGATCTGAGTTTCCATTTAGATATGTGACTATTTGATACTAAACTGTTACAGAACAGTTAGGGAAAAGTCTGCAGGCTAAAAGTGTGTAATGTATATTATTTACATTGATTTTTTTTTTTTTTGGAGAGGTTTTCGCTATAGGGCGCGTGTGCTCGCCAGACAGACAGAGACATAGAGACAGAAAGCGAGAAATCACCCCCCAGGGGGGATGGTCACGCCGCAATCCCTTCTCCTCCATTCTCCTCTCGGGATCTTGGGCACACACGCACACACGCCCGGCGTGAGATTTAAGCCACTGGGTCCGAGACACGAACCGCGGTCGACTATGTGGGAGTCCAGCGACGTAGCCATTACGCTAACTGCTGGTTCCCTCTACATTGATTTTTTTCATCATAAATTGATAGGCTTATTTTTCTGTTTCTGTTTGTTTCTTTGCTGTAGGGTACCTGCACTGGCAGGCTAGAAACAGAGAAAAGAGGGTGAGAAGGCACCCCCCCCGGGGGGGGGGGGGGGGGCTGAGGGAGAGACAGACAAAGTGAGAAAGCACCTCCCAGTGGGGATGACCAACTGCAATCCCTTCTCCATTAGCCACTTGGGATTTGGGGCAGGGCGCACACACCCAGCCCAGCCTGTTTTTCTAGCTGTTATTGGACACTCTACCCTGCAGCCACAGGGCTAGCCACTTGACATGCTCTTTATTTATTTTTAAATACTATATAAAATATACCTTCTTTCTCAACTCCGTTTCTCAGAGATCATCACTGCAGCTGGGAGACCAGCACTTAGCATAATGGCTATGTCGCTGGCCTCCCATGTAGTTGACTACGGTTCAAGTCCCTGACCCCATGGCTTAAACTAACCCTGAGCGTGTGTGTGTGTGTGTGTGTAGAGTGGAGGAGAAGGCATTGCGGCAGGGCCATCCCCCCTGGGGGTGATTTCTCACTTTCTGTCCCTGTCTTTCTGATGAGCACATGTGCCGTATAACAAAAAACCTCAACAACAACAACAAAAATCACTGCAACTGCATTTTTGTTTTATCCCATGGACATTTTCAATAAGTTATTTTGACTAAGGGCTACATACCAAAAAGGAATTTGAGCTATATGAGATTGCAATCAACTTAAAGCCATCCATAATCATGTTATATTCGAGGCAATTTAAATTACAATCATGTAACAAATATCTACTATGAACCAAAATCAGAAATGAGCGAGCTAGAGAAAAGGCATAGTAGTCCGTGCCTGAAGTCCTCCCAGCTACTCAGGAAGTTGAGACAGGAGGATCAGGAGTTAAAGGCCAACTTGAGCAACTTAACTAGACCCCATTTCTAGAAAGTAAAAATCAATCAAATAAATAAATAGGTAGAGAACCAGGAACTACGAAAGATTGATGTGTCCGTGTAACTGACCTAAGCAAGAAATGAAAGCCAATCCACTTACTGGATTTCACTCATACTGCAAGTCTCCCAGAGATCACTTCTATTCTCTGCTTCCTGGGTATACTGCACAGATTTGCATCTCTGACACTGAAAGTAATCTAAATCCAGTGACAGGCACATCCAAAGGGCTCCTTTAATACTCAAATTATTCCCTCAAGGCCAAAGGAATCTCCTTTTGTCTCATTTCCTTATGTTTCTATGTAAATCTTAGTGTGAGAGGGAACAAGTACCAAATAGTCCTGATAAATAACTACATAAATGAAGAGGGAAAAAACATACTATGTCAGATAAATGGGAGGGGGAGACAGACAGGGAGGCCAGTCTTAAATTACAAAAATGGTAGCAGGTAGGCAGGAAGCAATGCAATTTAATTTGCTACTGACTGTGCCACCAGGCTGGGCCTGCCTTATTCTTAAAGGATGGTCACTGTCATTTATTTATGTATAATATTTAAGAGTTAAAGAAAAAACAAATTATCTTTCTTGTAGTTGTTTAAGATATCAGAATACATTATCACCCCCAAAATATCCACTTTTATTCATGATTATATTTATTAATGTCAACTAGAAATCATATTTTATTTTATATTCTCACACATGGGGGAACAATTAAAAATGAGAACCCATTCAAATCACCTTAAAGAAGTGTCTATTTTTTAAAATAATTGTTTCTTTTTGATTTTATTTATTTATTCATTTATTTTAATTTGACCAGAGAGAGACACAGAGAGAAAGAGGATGCAAGAAAGCAATCCATCAGGTCCAGGACTCGAACCATGGTTGGCCATACAGGAGTGTCCAGCATCTTAACCACCATGCCACCTGCTGGTCCCCAATGTCTATTCTTTTTAATACATGATTATTGTTAACAGATTTGGAGGAAACATCAACCTCTCCTCCTAGTTTAAAACGAATGTCCCAGTTCAGTAATCCCAGATTTAACAATACCTTGTACCTTTTTGTCACCTAGCATCTCACTTCTGAGTGAGCACTGAGGTGGCGCGAAGAACAGACTGTCTTTCTTCCCCAAATCCTTTTCTTGAATGAGGAGAAAGCTGGGATGCAACCAAGCCCTCTGCTCCAGGGTATGGTTAAGAAATGGTTCCTTGGCACCTGAGGTGGCAGGGAAAGTGGGTCATTCTCTTCTTGCTAAGAAGCAGAGGTCTGTACCAAGGATTCTAAATTCCGTCTTGGGAGCTCATTTCTCCATAGAAACGATTTCACAAAGGGGTCTATAAACAATGGCCTTCCTATAAAAGCCTACTTGACTTCTAATGGAACTGAAATTCTGTATATTTACTATTAAAAACACAATAGGGAGGGATCAATATATGGCATAATGGTTACGTTGCTGGACTCCCATGTAATTGACCGTGGTTCAAATCCCAGACCTGGCAGCTTAAAGCTCAGACTGGGTGCATGTGTGTGCATGCCCAAAGTCCTGAGAGGAAAATGAAGACGAGATTGCAGCATGGCCATCTCCTTCTGGGGGGTGATTTCTTGCTTTCCGTCTCTCTGTCTCTCTCTCTCTCTAGAGAGCGCGTGCAACCTATAGCAAAAAAAAAAAAACCTCTCTAAAAATAAAAACAATATTAAAAAATACTTTAGAAATATCTATTTTTATGAATTAATGGGTTCAGAGAAAATGTATCCCAAGTACTAGATGAGATTTTTTTCTTTAATTTTAAACACAACTCTTTCTTTAAAAAAAAAAAAAAAAAAAAACTACTTTTTAAATTATGGATTTTATGTAAAACACACCAAGCACTTGTGCTCATGTGCATGTCCAGATCCCAAAAGAATGGAGAAATGGAGGAGAAAAGATTGTGGTGCGTTCATGCTCTATAGGGGTATGCTTTATCTCTTTCACTCTGTTTCTCTGACACTTTCTCTGGGGAGCACACATGCCTTTCTGACTTTATTTTTTGGAGAGATTTTTGCTATAGGACATGTGTGCTCATTGGAAAGACAGAGAGACAGAAAGCAAGAAATCATCCCCTGGGGGGGGTGGCCATGCTGCAATCCCTTCTCTTCCATTCTCCTCTTGGGATTTTGGCCATGTACATTTATGTGCCTGGTGTGAGTTTCAAGCCATCACGTCTGGGACTCAAATTGTGGTCGAACACATGAGAGTCCAGCACCTTAACCACTATGCCTTCTGCTGGTCCCCTTTCTGGCATTTTTTTTTTAAATGATACCAAGAAAAAAGCATAGTTATTTGGACTTTCATAATATTTCTGCTTTATTAGTTTACTAAGAGCACATACCTTACACTATTTACCAAAACATAAAATTATTATTTAAATGTAAAACAGAAATATGACAGGCAAAAATAGCTATCTGTCATACCTATATACTCACTAATATACTTACATGCTAAAAAATATCTGTAAGCATAGTTCCACACACAACAATGTTCGAGATTAGAATGAGAACCCTAGATTAGCCTCACCCCTGGCTCCAATCCATTTTTGTGTGAATTTTGGGTAGTCATTTAGTCTAAGTCTGAGCCAATGTAGTAGCCACTAGCCACTTGTAACTATTTAAACTGATATTAGTTAAAACTGAATAAAATTAAAATTTAGTTCTTCTGTCTTAGCTCCATTTCAAGTGTTCGATAGCTGCATACCTTTTGGCTACCATTCTGGACATCACAGAAACTTCTATTGGACAACACTCATCTAAGTCCTGTCCTTTTCCTCCCAATAGTCATTGCCAGCCATTAATGTTTATTTATTATAAGGGTAAGTACCTTTTAAATACAATGTGCTCATCAAAAGTACCTTAAGTGCCCTCACAATTTGAACATATATATATATATATATATATATATACATATATATATATAATTACATTCCTTTTGAAAATATATGTACATATATTTCTGAAAATTAAATCATACTAATATTATATATATACATGTATACATAGTATATATAACACACATACATATATTATAGACTAAAAAAAAGGTATTTAAGAGTAATCAGTTCTTTTACCAAATGCATACATTCTATATTAAAATGTTGTTAATGTATCTTTTTCAACATCAAACAATATATTGCAACAAACATAAAAAATTTTATGTTGGGACCAGCAGTTGGCATAATGGCTATGTCGCTGGACTCCCACGTAGTTGACCACGGTTCGAGTCTCGGACCTGGTGACTTAAACTCACACCAGGTGTGTGTGCATGCGTGCCCAAGATCCCAAGAGGAGAATAGAGAAGTGATTGAGGCGTGGCCATCCCCCTGGGAGGTGGTTTCTCGCTTTCTGTCTCTCTGTCTCTCTCTGTCTGTCTGGTAAGCGCACACGCCCTATAGCAAAATCCTCTCCTAGGAAAAAAAAAGTAAAAAAAAAAAATTATGTTTACAAAAATGTTTAGCAATTGCATAGAGTAATTCGATTATCTCATGGACTTATATTCTATTTTCACTAGATTTTTATATTTTGCTATAATCCAAGTTCCGCACTTTACCATTTACCAGTATTAATACAAATTTCAAGTAGTAAACAGAACACTATAGAGGAATATTCAGATGCAGAGAGAATATGGGAAGGGAAAGCAGTAAAGGATCTTTGTGTCCTCTTATGACGATTCGAAGGAGATCTTTAATGAAGGATCAGGATTTCAGTTTTATATCTTATCTAAAAATAACATTTCTCAGTGCTGAGTCAGGATTTTTGTATATGCCACATACAAAATACAATTCTTTTTTTTTAATTTTGCCAGAAGGTATGCGCACTCACCAGAGAGAGAGAGCGAAGAGAGAAAGTGAGAGACATTCTCCATGAGAGACGGTCATGTTACAATTCCGTCTCTATTTTTTCCTCCTTTCAGGGTTTTGGGCATATACACATGTGCTTAGTGTGTTTATTTTCAAGGCACCAGATCTAGGACTCAAACTATGCTGTCAGTCATGTGGGATCCAGCTGCCTTAACTAGCATGCTATGGGCTGGCCTCCAGTTCTTTCCACGTTCAAGGATTTTCTCAGGGAATTTTCAAGGTAGACTGTGGCTTCTAAAAGGAAAAGAATACACACTGTTTTTTGGGAGAAAACAAAATGAGTAAACTGGTCAAAGACAATTGGTTTGGCATAGAATATCCATTCCTTAACTCATCCAGTGTTTGCAAAGGTATATACTCAAGGATCTAGGTGACTCCTAAAAAGGAAAAGAACGTTTTACAGATTATAACTCACATGTACTAGGGACTAATTGGTTTTGGATGGCAGACCTCAGAAGTCCCCATTGTCTTCTCTTGCAAGTGAGGAGGCCACTACCATGCCATTAAGCGTGGGTAAACGCTAATTGCAGCATAGTGCAGGATGGTACTTTCTAAGTGCAGGTGTGGAGAGAGTAGGGGAACACTGAGGCTAGATATAAATCATTGTAACCTACCCTTTGTCCTTTCCTTCAGTTATTTCCACTAGAGGGGACTACTCCTAACATTACCCTGTTCTTCTGGGGCAAGCCTATTTTCTTGCTGTGGCCTGACTCTGGACACCAGTGTTTATACAGTATTGGGTCACTAGAAAAGTCACAATGCATAGAAAAAATACCTCATGACTTTTCCAACACCACTATAGTATAAACAGAATAGCCTAATTCTACAGGATCCTTTGGGAAAACTATTAGATCATTAATATGATTATTATAGAAAGTTCAATACAGAAAAACATAAAGAAAGGACGATCAGGGGACACAGCCCTGTCTCGTCAAGGTTAAGTGAGCCTAAATCCCACATGGCCCGTCCCGTGGTTTGAATACCAGCCCAGCAACTTGCAAAACACACTAGGCACACATGCATGCATACTCAGAATCCCTATAGGATGAAGAAATGGACAAGGGATGGCATTGTGGCTATGCCCCATGGGGGGTGCTTTCTCCCTCTTACCTTCTCCCTCTCCTTGTCTCTCTGTCTCTCCCTGGTGAGCACTCATGCCCTCCAGCAATTAAAAAAAGAAAAGAAAATCATCTGTAATCATACAATTGTTTGTATTCAAATCTATATGCAATCTTTTATATACATATACACATGTGATATGAAACACAGTTTTTGTTTATTATTGATATTAATATTTTAATTTGCTACAGGGTACATGCACTCACTGGAGAGAGATAGAAAGAGAGAGAAAGTGAGAAAGCACCCCCAGGGGGCATGGCTATACTGTAATCCCTTCTCCATTTCTCCTCTTGGGTTTTGAATACACATACACATGTGTCCTTCAAGCCACCGGGGCCAAGATCCAGCCGTTTTAACCACCATCCCACTGGCTGACCAAAGAAACATATATTTTTTCATTTGTTTTGTTTTGGTATAGGGCTCATGCACTTACTAGAGACAGACTGAGAGAGGGAAAATGAGAAAGCATGATAAAGTTCCTTCTCCATTCTTCTCTCAGGATTTTGGGCACTCACACACTTGTGCACAGAGTGTCTTTCAAGCCTCAGGGTCCAAGATCCACACCACGAAGTTGATTGTGTGGGATCCAGCCACCTTAACCACGTCACTGGCTGGTCCAATATTTTAAAAAATCATTTTTTATCTCTCAAATCTCCAATTTCACAAGTTATCTATTATTCTTCTAATTAAATCCATAGAGGCCAGAGGCATTAAACAGTTAATGAGTAAATAAGCCTGAAAGTGGAAACATTATTAGAAAACAGAACAGAAATACTTTCTTTTTTTCTTTGGAAAGGTTTTCACTATAGGGCGTGTGTGCTTGCCAGACAGACAGAGAGAGACAGAGAGACAGAAAGCAAGAAATCACCCCCCAGGGGGGATGGTCATGCCGCAATCCCTTCTCCTCTGTTCTCCTCTCAGGATCTTGGGCACGCACACACACGCGCCCGGTGTGAGTTCTAAGCCACCAAGTCTGGGACGCGAACCGCGGTTGACTACATGGGAGTCCAGCAACATAGCCATTACGCTAACTGCTGGTTCCCCAGAAATACTTTCTTAAGTTCATTTATTTTATTCATGA